AAAAAGAAACCCCCCCCCCCCCCCCCCGATTTAAGAATTTAGGATTTTAACACTAGAATTTTGTGTAATTACCACATTGTTCATTCACATAATTACATTTCAATTGATTTTCTCACTTTACCCTTTATTTATACCTTTCATAAGCACAAAATGGGGATGAACAACCACACATTTAAACAAAGTATAATACAAAATTCAAAGGATATATTTCTAAATTATTCTTACAAACTCCAATATCCCAAACATCTTGTATCTACAAAAAGAAAAGGCAAAAATAAGTAATTATAAATAAGCTATTGTAATTAGCAGCCTCTTTTCCTTTATCTTCCCCTATAATTGCTTCTTTTTGTAAGCACCTCATTAAATCAAACATTACATTGAATGAACAATATTTCCTTCTATTCCTTTGCAGTGAAATTTGGGAAAGTAAAGGAATGATGGGAAAAATATGTTTTGAATTTAGAGAATCATTATAAAATATGATTTGAATTTCATGGATAAATTGCAGTGAAATCTGGGAAAGCAATAAAAATAGGTTTCGACAATGTTATCCTTGCCTTTTGAAAAGAAAATTTTCATTTTAATTGATTTAACGAAAGATTTTAACGGTGAGTGGATGGAAGAACGTTTTTCGCAATAAATAGTAAAGGTGAGGATGAAATTTGTTAAAAAATGAAAGGTAGAGACGTTTTTCACAAAAAATCTTGAAAGGTAGGGACGTTTTGTACTAAATACCCAATTTTTATTTCAATAGTAATTTTTTAATATTTTCTCCACACGTGGGTAAAAAACTAGTTTGCGAGTGTGGAACCTTTTAAGCATAGAAAAGTGATGCTAAAAGTGAAGTATACAAAATGATTCTGAAACTTGGGCCTTGACAATGGTTCAAACTTAGGTGGATTAGATCTGGTCACTGTGCCTATGGGCCAAGACTGGTCCATATAAGCTTGGCCCATTAAACGTGTGATCCAGTCTGCTTCTTTCTTCCATTTCGTTGCTCAGTTTGTAGCGAGTGGTTCAGTAGAGGTTTCCCAGCGCACGAACCAGTAGTATTGTAAGGTACAAGTTTGCATTTTTTTCTCCCAGCGGATTTTTATTTCTTCTCTCTAGGTATGAAGGAAATATATTGTTTTGTGTTTTCAGATTGTACTAAAACTCTGCTTTTTTTATTTTATGTGATTATACAAATTAGGTTTTAGAGGAGAATTGAAAAAAATGATATTCTTCGATTATACGAATATCTCAATCCTGCAGTGTAATCATTTTTTCTATTTCGGATAATTATTATTATTATTATTATTATTATTATTATTATTATTTGGATACGCTCTTAATAGCCTTTCACTGTATGCCTATGAATGCCCTAATGCTGCCAGCCCAGAAATATCATTTCTACTGATATGTTTCGTTTGCGTGTCTGTATGTGGTGGCGCTCTGTGATTAATTATTCTGGAGACGTTTTTTGGATATTTTGTGTTATATATGAATGGTTGTAAGAATTTTAGTTTCTCGCAACTATTTCTTAATTTTGATTTACAAACCTACTGATGGGACTAAGTAACAAGGAAATTGCTTTTACCTGTGTTTCCCTTCACACTATAATTCAACCTAATTCATTTTCTATGTCTGCTTAAAAATATAAGGAATTATGATTTAGTACATGAAATATGAACGTTAATACTTAATAGTAAAGGCAAATTTTCCCTTAAGACCTAAGTTCTTCTATTGACTTATTGCTTGTGTGAGCGAGAGTAGAGTTTGATATGTAATGACGTTTAAAAATGCTATTATTTTCATTGAGATCATCTGGAGATAAGTATTAGAATACAGTGCCTGAAGATTAGAGGGAAATAGATGCTAGACAGAATTAAGGGAGGGAAAAAAAAGCATGGGGCCATGAATAATACAGTTCATGATATTTTTGGGCTTTTATCTTCACGTGGAATTCAGTGTCTCTGGGAATAGATATGAGAAAGTAATACATGCTATGCATATTTTATTATGATGTTTTGAGGCTAATAATGGAAAAACGTTAAGAGAAAGATAACTAAATAACAAACTTCTAAACTATATTTCTACTTTTAGTCGAACAGTCATGTTGCTATTGCATGCTCCTGGTTCCTTTGGACCTTGATTTGGAACTATTGGAGCGTATAAGTAATTCCATTTCTTCCATTGGTGGATTTTTCCCCTCTCTAGGCATGGGAAAGTATTGTTTGTCTGTTAAAATTTTCACTTTAGGTTGCCCTTTAGGGTGTTCATTACCAAATTACTAGGTTTGGACGTGTAAGTTTGCAAAATTCATAAGCTAAAGGCCTTGTGGTTTTACAGATCAATGTAGCATTTGATGAAGTTCCAGAAAATCAAACAACAGTGAGAAAAAATGTTTCTTGACTTTTTTTATTTCTAAAAGCCTGGATTTGGTAAACATTATCTGGGGTTTTGTTGAAATTTTATTAAAACCGAGCATTTTGTTTGTGTTTTACGTGATGATACAGTTTAGGTTTTAGACATAGTAGTATCATTTACTTCTTTTAATTTTCATTTTAACATTTTCAATTTGGAATTATCTTTTGAATTTTGTAAACAATTTTATAGATTATAATGCCCTAAAAGTATGTGCATGCATGTGATCACACACGACTGTGCTCGAGACGTTCAGTCAAATTATTTATACCATTTTGAAAATATTGTTTGGATAGTTACGCTCTTAATGGCTTTTAATCGCATGCCTATTTATGACCTAATGCTGCCAGTCCAGAAGTACTATTTCTATTGCTGCACTGTTTTTTTGTGTGTGTATGTGGTGGATTTCGTCTTCAACTATAATAATTGTTGGAGATTTGTTATGAGATTTTGGGGCCAACAAAGCAAAAATGTCAAGGAGATAACGAAATAACAAGATTCTAGACTGTTTTAACTTTTAATTGAAGATGTGTGGCTACTACATACATGTGGTTCTTGTTGTACCTTGATTTGGACTTCTGGAAGTTGATTTATGACCAGCGCCCCCATTGAAACTATTTGAGGCCCCATCTGTTGATGTACTTGACATGCAATTAGACCTTTAATAATTTGTGGATTGTTAAAGGCAAAGGGCACAAAGAACACTGATATGGCATACAAACTTGAAAGAATGATTGAAAGGATTGATGAAAAATAGCTTCATTCTAAAAGCTCACAGTTCATGAAAGGCACTTTTTTCCAGTTGACTTATTTCATGTTATCGCAATAATTAATGTCATTTCTTGATACCCAATTTCCCATGGTCCATTTCATCCACTTCTTCAAGGTCACTACGTGTTGCCTCTAAAGCAAAACAAAAAGGTTATTTATACTCTTTTAAGTTCTAATTAGTTTTCTTTTTTAATTAGGTGCTCTAATTTGAGGCATTTCTTTTTCTTTCACCGAGTTTTATCTTTTGGACTGGTTCAGCTTTTTAGAAATGTGAATTAACTGATAACTAGTTTGGTTTTCATTGAAGCAGGGTTCGCAAAGGTCCAAGAATCAGCGACTTAAAAAGAATCGTTGCCTATTTGTATTGGAGATCAGAAGATGTCTAGTGGGCTTGGGCTTGAGAATCTTGTTGACCGTATGCAGTCTTAGACCTATTCTGATCCACAACTGATATATGATGTTATCTCATTTGCATGTTCTTTTTAGAAAATAACCAGTGTTTATAAACTGGATACTCTTGTGCTAATCTTACCATGTGAATGTAGTAGTGTTTATTACTGCACCCCCTCCCCTGAATTAAATGGTGATTTTGAAGAGTTCTTGAGAGCCTGAAATAATTTCTTTGTCGTGACTTCCTGCTGGCAAACTGTGTTAAGAATGGCATCTTAAAATAATATAGTCTTTGATGTAATGACCAGCAAAGCTGAACTGTTGAAGATATTTAATTTTTTCAGTCAAACTCAACAAATAGCATTGAGTGAATTCCATGTGATACCATGTCTTTGATTGATTGATGTAAAAGCAATTACCTTCAGGACTCAGGAGGCATTGCTCTCTCAGGCTTTTCCCACTGCGGAATCCCCTCTACCTTTAGGAGGCATTGCCCCAACCATTATATTTCCCATCTTATCAAATTACTGGCTTGGTCTGAACCCAACGAGGTGTCAATACCTTATTTTAAAACTCTAGAGAACTAAGATATACTCAGCCTTTCATTTCATGTAGTTTATAAATTTAAAACTCTAGAGAACTAAGATATACTCTGCCTTTCATGTAGTTTATAAGCATTACCATATCCACAATGTATGTCTCTCTCTTTTCCCACTTGAATTTCTAAATGTTCTTGACAATTAATTTGCTTCCCTTAACATCTCTTTTTGTATGCTTTTAATTTTGATTCCTTGTAATCTCAGAAACAATTTCAGTGATCACAAATGATGGGCGAAATATAGTGGTGAGCCTTCAGGTTTTGAGCCGCAATAATACAATATTTGGTAGTGGATTCTTTTTTACTCAATAACCAATTCTTCTTGTAGGGAATCCTGAAAGGTTTTGACCAAGCTACTAATATAATTCTTGATGAGTCTCACGAACGGGTGTATTCCACGAAGGTCTGCTCCTAATCTCTTACAAGCATCAAACATATATTTTGTTACTTTCGTACAGCATTGCTCGCTATTGGAAACTATTTATGTTTCTAAACTGCTCTCAATATAGATTTTACTGAAGGAAAAGAATTCAGATAATAAGATGTATCCATCCTTTCTTTAAGATAGCGTTATGCTAGCACATTATCTTGTATTCCAAAATGAATAATGCTACTTGTATATAATAGAGTTATATAATGATTTACATACAGATGAAGTGTCAGAAAGAGAGTGAGGAAGTTTTTTTTTTTTTTTTTTTTAATAATTTCTAATCCAATCATATTTCACCACATCATATATATGTAAATCATTATGTACATGTAGCAAAACCATTCCAAAATTTACATAATTAGGTTTGTCCTGCCCTTCGATGTTTTGGGGAAACGTATCTTGCAGCTCACAAATTTTAAACATAGAATATGTATAGGACATGCCTCGGGGAAATGTTCAACACGAAAATTTTTAAAAAACATATAAAAATTAGAGCACATCGTGTGGCGCGTCGTAGCATACATGTCGACGCAGACATGCCACCTGGGTATGAGTGCCGGTGCTTCACTGGTAGTGAGAATGGGTGGAACTTGTTAATTGCCGCCCCCTACTCTTGTAGTTGTGTTTTATGTACCTCCAAGTTGCATATAATCAATTCTCATCATTTCTTCTCGTTATATCTTTTATCTTCCTATATGCATTTTAGTTTACTATTAACACAGTCGCGTTGTTCCATTAGTTTGATTTTCTTGTAAAACCATTGATCCCTATTCTGATCTGTAGGAAGGTGTACAACAACTTGTGCTCGGCCTCTACATCATAAGGGGCGACAACATGTACTATTTTTTTGCCATCGGCATATCATTTACGTTATAACATGCGTTTGACCAATAAATATAGTTTTCGCATGCCCTCGTGTGATTGTTCTTTCCTTAACCTTGCAGAAGCATTGTTGGAGAAATAGACGAAGAGCTAGATGCTAGCTTGGACTTGTCACTACTGAGAGCTCATCCTCTGAAGCCAGTTATACATTGATTTGTAACATGACAGTATCTAAAGATTGCTTAGGTAGGAATCTAGAAAACACACCCAAAACGCAGGGGATTGTGGCGTGGGATGAAAAGGAGAGTTGTGAAACATTCTGAGGAAAAGATAGATGTGAATGGAGTTTTGCAGTTTGGAACTAGCATGTACCTTTTGTAAGGATCTGAAAATTATTGTTTTGATTTTGCAAACCCTGTTCTATAGTTTGTGTTTTCTACTTTCAGTTGACGAATACTGGAAAACTGATATCTGGAAAAAGGTTTGAATTTTTATCAGCTTGAGTTTGCTGTTGGGGATTTTCAATTATGATGTATATTTATCAGCCTTAGTACAGGTTGGATTTAGTGGAACTGATGGGTGCATTGAAGGAAATTGTAGAAGCAAATCTAGCAAGCTAAGGATGGTACTTGCCCGGTTTTTCACGTATGGGAAGTCAAGATTTTCAACAAGATGAGAGCATTAGAGTAATTTGGAGATGCATAGATTAGAGGTTCCTATAAATGAATATTGGTTAAAATTAGTCAAATATTTCTTGATGGATAAACTTGTGAGGAATATTGGTTAGATGAATAGTTTCTGAGACAGGGATGGGGGAATCCATCACCAGCCAAATACTAAGTTTACCGTGGTCCGCTACTTCCTCGAGCTCTATAGCAAATTTTTGTGTCTCGTCATCAATGTCGACAAGTGAGATAAAAATTATTCAATTTAATATCACAAGTTTACATGACAAACGCTAAAGTTATCATGGTGTAGTACCACAAGCTCTATAGCGTCTCGTCGTCAATGTCGACAAGGGAAATGAAAATTATTCAATATAATATCACAAATGTTTATAGTTTAAGTTTCACTACCATTTATTGATGAGTATCTATAATCAGGTCACGATTTTTAGAGTAAATATCGTCATTTACTCTATTCAGGTGGACCCGATACATGTGTGGGGTGGGGGCACCATTATGTACCCCTTTATGTACCCATAGCACACATCCCGAAAAAAAATCTTTACATCCCTAACAAAGTCAAACTTTTTAAATGAGTCCAGCACAAGTTTTTAAATTATGTATCCGCCTTGATCTTTTCTAGTTAGTTCTACTTTTCCTGTACAATAGTCATGGTAAGCTGAGAATATTGAAATTAAGTAGGGTCGCTTAATTGAAAAGAAAACGAATTTGAATGAATTGAATTGTCTAAAAACTATTTTATTAAGAATTATCAATTATTGTGTTTGATTGGTATAATTTTTCACGTGAAAAATGTAGAAATAAAAGTGTTTTTTGATTTTCGTTTGATTTTATTTTACATGAAAATTGTCAATTAAAGGGATAGAATTTGTTTTCATTGCCCAAAAAAAAAAAAAAAAAAAAAAAAAAAAAAGATTGGAAAACCAAGAAAATAATAATTTCCAAAACAACCAAGAAAATGAAATTCCATAGAAAAATGTGTAATCAAACATTACAATTTGGGTGAAAAATTTTTCCATGGAATTGGCCCCAAACAAACATATTCTTAATAAAAGCACACACCGGTGAAGGGAATCCGTCAAGTGTACTTATACATTGAGAGTAACTAAATGGTTAAATAAATTAAATATATATTGAAAAACGAAAAGTATGGTACCCCTTTCTGTGCCAAGAAGAAAGGCACCCCGTGAAACAACGTTATGCATTTTAGTGTAGATGTTTAAGATTATTTAATGAATTGGATCTAGTTGGGCTAAGAAATGAAACAATAAAATGGATAATGACCAAAAATTAAAAAATTAAAAATGAAACAAATTATTTGGCAAAAATTTGGATTTAGAAATTGTTAATTTGTTTAGAAAAAATTAAAATTAAAATAATTTTATTTACTCAATATAAAAAAAAAATTAGAAAAATTCAGTTCTTATTCAATTATTCGGTTCTTGATCTAGAACCGAGAATCGAACCGTACCCGTCGGTTCTCAATTCAGATACCCGTTCGGGTATTTAATCTGACAAGAACCGTCGGGTTCGGTTCGGGCTCGGTTCGGGAGATTTGCCCAGCCCTAGTTTAGCGAGCATAAAATAGGATAAAGCAATTAGAAGAAACTTAAATATTGTCCATTATCAAGTATTCTATGTACCAAATGACCCCAAATTATTAGCCTAAATTTTGCATCCTGCAATTTAATCAACCTTTGCCATTGAGTTGAAGTAATGAAACAATGGTGAGGTTACATTCCAAGATTATGTTGTGGCAATTTGAATACATCAGAAAATTTGAATACATCAGAAACAAGGTTGCTTAATATAAATAACAACAAAATGCTCAACTTCATTCCATCCTGCAATGTCTATTTCCATATGTTAAAACCTGTAGAAGTAATGAACTCCATGAGAAACGTGTAATAAACGCATCGGCAATCACAAAAACAAACTTTAATTACAACTATTACTGCCAACGTAAATAAAGTTAACAAGATAATGAAAAATACGATTTTATTAGATTTATGCTGTGTAAGGACGAAAATAAAATAGATCGCGTTCAATCCTGCTAAGTTAATATCGATCGACATAAGCCAATCTACAGTGCACAACCATTCATATATACTCCGAATCTTAGACATTGTCAGTTGGTGCCCTTTTTTAAAGATCCAGGATTATACTGATACCGGCGTATGATGGTATATATGAAATTTTGTTGCTTGCTATCGAGGAACATTTAACTGTACACTGGAGACATGTTCGAAGCATGCACACCCAGTGTGCTGCTTCCACAACATGCTCCAGTCTTGGGCACCTCAGTGTTCTTATAAACAGGAAAGGTGACGAGCAGCTTTAAGGGCAGCAGGCGGCCTATGAAGAAGCCACTTTCCTTGGTGCTCTATAACACACAACTTTCCATGGAGAGGTAAATGAGGACCTTCCACGAGCAAAGAGTTAAAGGAGTTATCAGTAAAAAGAAAAACTTATTGAGGACCTTTCAATAGAGAGGTATTAAAGGACTTTAACAGTTAAAAAAAAAACTTATGCAGTCATCCCACACTAGTCTGTCCCGTGTAGTTAAAACCAGTAACTACAGGAAACTCCGGGATATTTTGTAAGATGAGTCCTGTGCAGACATTCAGAAATATACATTGTCATCTCTCCACTGTTCATGAGCAATTACCCTATGGTCCTCATGGAAAAACCAGAAAGTCGCTCAAATTTCCCTTCCAAAATCCCATTCCATCACCATATATTCACCCAAAAAGTTAAGCTTCCTTCCACCTTCCACATCAAACTTAATAAATTTGATAACCTCCACCCCAAAAGTTAATAATTCCTCCCTGGACTAGTAGCAGAAGAGCCCTTAGGCACAATTGGCCACATTCGATCTAACTTCTTCAGTTATAGAAAAAGCAAATATCTAAAATGTGAGAGTAACACACCTTATCTTCATTAAGATTCCAATACAAATATTCCACTCCGAATTTGCACGTCCAGTGAAAATCGGTGACAACCATCATTAAAGGTTAATTAAAGAAATAAAGGAGCGATATCAAGACTAAACAAGAAAGCCTGCACTATTTAATAAGTTTTCCTCTCCAATCTCGATATTTTCTTAAAAGGTAGTCAAAAGGATGGTCTACGTCTAAAGGAAGTCAAAGGGTTGGGGTTCCAGTAGCTGATTTGATGTCTAAGATGAGCATTGCCCAAAGTCCAGTGCACAGGCAACACCAGCTCAGGAATTTAAACATCCCGTAGGATCTAGGTTGACTTCCTCTAAAATGCTGAAACCCAAGGTAAGAAAATTACTTGCTTTAAGTGTTGACAGATGCCACATGCCACTCCATCGTCCAAAGAAGAATTTACATATAAAAGTCCCAAAAATTTTCATAGAAGAGAATTAATAATTTTGTATATTATATTTTTAATATTTTGAATAGTTGAAGGACTAAAGTCTAAAGTAATATATGGATTAATTCAAAAAAAAATTGGGCCAAATATTTAGTTTTAAATAGAGCAAAGATAAGTCTATCAATATTGGACTCATAGGATAGCTTGTATTTAATCATCTATTTTAGGCCCAAGAAAAAGTCGATTCGGATAAGTCAGCTCTAAGATAATGCAGTTTGAAGAAATTGTTTAAAACTAATTTTTCAATTGAATTAAAACCTTGAATGAAAAATGGAGATGCTGCCACGTGTATGGGAGTGTTTTATTTTGATTTTGAGTTGTATGGTTAGTTGAGTCAAGTAGTTTAATATGTTTGATTTGAATAGTGAATTTGAGGTAAATTCAACTTCTACTTTTTATAGGGGATTGTCCTATACATAACCATATGAGTGCAACAGATTTTTCACCAAATAATATAATTGTTCAACACGGCAGTAGGCAAAAATAATGATTTGGAGCATGATTTCGCCATAATCTTTCAAATTATTTGATTTAACAAGGTAGGATAATGAGGCGCGATTGTTTTTATCCCGTTTAAATTATTTTTCCATGTTGTCCAATTATACTTATGAAAATTAAAGAATGATATGATATGTATGATATGGTTATCCAGTACCAAAGATATAATATGTACTATGGTCTTATCGATCTCTAAAGATATAATAACGATATGATATTTTTGACGTATGATTTAAATATTTATATTCGGGATTGCATCATTATTTTCGTGTCCAACTGATTATTTTCCATATACTCACCATTTTCCCCTACTCACAAGTTAGAACGGATCGTTGGTTGGCGGGCGATGAGGCACAGTCATGGTGCCAGGATTTATGGAACTCAATAAATTATATTCGGTGCAACGTGACTGAGATTTTTTATTTTCAGTATTATCTTAGTTTAGTTTATGAAGATTTTTTTTTTTTTATTTAGAAGTTTAAGACATGGTTTATTAGGTTATACATTTTAATCTGTGTTAAGCTATATTAGTGGAGTTAACATTCTATTATTTATCTAATAAATGTAATATGCATGGTTTTTAGTATTTATTTGGGATATAATTTATTTGGTTATGAGTGTCTTCTATTAATTTAATTGTGCCCATTAATTTCATGTGCTTAAGCTGTTGAAATAAATAAATTTGGTAGTTACTTAAACTTTAAAATTTGGGTCGTTACAGTTAAAGCATGAAGGAGTTTCACAAGGGGATAAAGATGAGGACTACTTCGAACTCCTTTGATTCAGGAGAATACAATCCTGAATATTTGGTGCAACGTGATTCTAATGAAAGTTACACACGTAATTAGAAGGCTTTGGCTTTATGATCACAATGCAAGTCATTATGGCAAGGAAAATATGTACACATTTATGCTCAAGAACAAAAGGATCACTCTCAAACCAATAACTACTGCTGAAATGGACAACTACAAGGTTAGAAAATCATTTAAATCTTCTGTGTCTGCCTTTAACATATAGGACATAATGATCAACTCAGATAATTTCAAAACAAAGTTATTCAATAAACAGGTCTACTACAGGTATTTAAACACTTCTGGAAGTATAAAGAGGAACTAATTCAGTATCAACAAAATACCCCGACCTCTGACATGGATTGCAAATTTTAAGACAAAAAAATGCAATAATTCAAAGACGCGAGGGAAATAAGTTATGGACAAAACCTGAATTAACGACGAGCAAAAATGCCATGAAGAGGACCAGCAGCGCGTCGTCTTCCCTGGATCATAAAACTACATTTGGTGAATTTTTTTCACATAAATCTGCAAAAAGTTTAAGCATATATTATAAGTTACATATGCACCTTCTCTGTATTGAACAAGTCCTCTGCTATAGCTTCCATTTGTTTCCTCTTTTTCTCCTCCTTTACAGATTCAACAACATCCTCATTTCCATAGTCAGATTCTCTGAGGGAAATATAATATGAATCAAAATGTCAACTTGAATCCCAAAAAGCAAGCAGATCCAATAATAAGAGCAGAGAAGTGGATCATACTCATATGGATACTTCGAAAATGGGATAAGGTTGTGGAAGCTATTGCCTGATGGAGTCCTCATCTATATATATGCCATGATGTCACCACATCGTGAATAAAGAATCAATTAATTATATTATAAGACAATGAGTCGAATGAGACGATTTTATCCCAATATTATGGATTTTAAACAAGCAACTGCAATGGCACGTAAGCCAAGAGATGTGAAGACAAGGAATTGCAAAAAATAAACAAGCAAGCAATAAAACGAGTCCTTATCTTCACATAAGTAAAAGGAACAAGGTTTTCCCTTGTAATTAGCTGACACATCCTGTTGAGAGTTAGGGAAACGAACAGTCATAAGCTTATTTGCTTGATAGTGTAGGTGCTAAGAGTGACAGGTTTGTAAATTAGAAACAACCAACATAGCATACAGTAGAAAACACAAAAAGAAGAAACAAAGTGGTTTAGAATAATTAGAGGACACATGAAGCTCATATATCCAACTTTAGTATTTGTTACAAGATTTTAACAATTAGGAGTCAGTTACCTTCCTGAAGAGTTTGAAATTTGTGACCGCAAGATTTTAACAATTAGGAGTCAGTTACCTTCCTGAAGAGTTTGAAATTTGTGACCGCACTACTTGTTGAAGAATGGCCTGGAGCTGGTAACTTAGAATCTCTCACTATTAGGTCTTGGCTATATATAATATCCAGCTTCCCACTTTCTGAATTGTCAATACTATCTTTTCTTGACATTTTATCATCAGTGCAATTAACGCTATTGGGCTCAAGAACAGCACGATTAGAAGGTATAAATCCTTGGCTATCATGTTTAATGGTTTTGATTGTGCTCACAGCTGTATCCCCTTTACTTTCCTGATCAATAGAATCTATAATGTTGACGACACTTTCTGCTCTGCAATTATTTTCGGCAGATACAACTTTGTGGATGTTTCTCTCTTGTTTGCTTTCATGTTCAGCAGATTCCATTGCACAAACTGCAGCTGATGCACGAGTCGATGTCACAGTTTCCATTTCGACATCAGAATCTGCTACCACAGTTTCGTCGGTGGAGCACGAAGAGGCGACCAGCACTGCAAAATTCCACATGTAAGATACATTACTAAACAAAGATTAGCTATTTCCCAATACTGGGCATATCTTATAAGCATCCAGATGATTGTATTCACACTGCAAAATCATTGGAACCTTTTAAACTTATCACCTGATATTTTTGTTTGGCAATATAAAGACAACCTATAGAAACCATTACAATTCTGAAACTCTCTCCTTGTCACCTGTGAAAAGTTCACAAGTTCCTAGCTACTCAAGGAGAGTCTGATATCCTCTTCAAGCATGAGAGCAGATTACATATACATTGCAGAATTCAAGACTTGTTATTCAGGATGTCTCATAGCACAATAATGCTGGAGGAACTTTGTCCACCAGTCCATGTGCAAATGTATGCAAGCATCCATTCTTGTTGTTTCTGCAGCCTGCGGAAAGCAATCTACTACCCATTTTTCCCAGCTTAGCATAACTCTTATGTGCTTTAGAAGTTCTTCAACAGCTAGAAGAGCCTAATCTACATGGCTAAAATTTAAGGAAGTTGCTTGATTATGACAACACAAATCATTAGGATGGTCAATGGCACTAATAATAGGGTTGACATGTATATTTCGTCTATCATATTGTAAATGTATTGCACCCCTCAAGTGTGAAATAATTTCATTTTGCTAAGGAAATGAAAAATCAAGGTTGAGTAGGAATAGTGCACAATCTTACCAGGTGCTGATACAATAATAGAATCATCCAGATGTCCAGATAAAACAGCTGAAATCAAATCCATCTCATTCAACTTTGGCAGAGAACTAAATTTACGACAACACTCCGCGCTACTTGGCAATCCAGTTGGGACTACACGCACTACATGGTTATTTCCACCTTCTAAGCCCTACAAAGAGCACATTGAGTAAAATAACAAGAAAAGTTGCTAAACAATATAGAACTTTGACAAGATTTCAATATTTGTTATTAATTTCAACCATCACAATACAATACATTAACCACAACAACCTAGGCAATTGATAAGAGATATATGCGGCTCCTTAATTTACTCCACATTAAAGTAAACTAATATGCTGCCCAATTCTTGTGAGCAGTAAATACCAAGCTTCTCAACTTTTTAAGGGTTATGGATGTCATATACTGAATAAACAATCGTCCGCATCCCCCAAGCATTGCTGCCCTCACAAAACTTCAGCTACCCAACCCACCTATAACTCTACGGTGGTTGATGACACACCTCCCTCTCCACTGCTGGATTCTGTCCTTCCATGCATGCTACCCGCACTCCATATTTCACCTCTAACTAATCCAATACCCCAGCGCATCATAAAGCTGTGGAACACACACTCATATCACATGTTAAAATGATTTAGTTAATATTTCTTTAAATGATGGAAAAGCGGTTCATTTCAACACATTTGATGCCTCTGTCTCTAAGAGAGAAAATACTAGTGGCTGGGTTGAGTAAGGAATTGTTCGAAAGTACATCCTAGATGGTGGAGACAAAAGATTCACCACAAGTTATTCAAGTGTCTACTATGTTTTCCGTACCAACTTGGTGATAACCAGTCATCGCATCTTAGCAGTTCCAGAGCCAATGAATGCTCACTAAAAAGTTTGTATTTGTCATAGGTAACATGTAGATTTTGGAGGTTGCCAATTTCGAATTTCATAGTTGTCAATTATCAGCAAAAATGACTTTGGATGTATGAAGATAAAGGGCAAAAAAAGGGAACTACAACTCACATACTTGGCTCTCTGACTCTAGAGCTTCTACATAAACAACTTTTGCACCACCAACATCCAATAACAAAGGCAACTTGTCCTGATATTTATACTGTGGAAAAAAAAAAAAAAAATCAGAAAACAGCATGAAGCATTGAAATGCTCTTCAAAATTTATTTAAATTGTGTCAAGCAGCAGAAATTACGGTACAAACCAGAAGCATGGTAAAATGTGTAAAATAAAGATATGATTATTTATAGCGAGATTCCAAAGAACATACTTCACTTCATTCCATGGTTAAAAAAAAAAAAAACTGTGATCTGATACAAACATGTGGGCATGTACAATGATAAAGAAAGGAATTTTTTTTGCATATCCAATTAGTGTCAAAACAACAAAAGGAAAGAAATTACGCAGAAAAGAAAATACACCACATATTTTTCATCATTGTTTTTTCAGAAGAGTAACTAAGGTAACACTAAAGACGAATCTAAGATTATAACATTCATGAGCATATTTTACTACTATGATGCAGGACCACCTGATCAAAATCAGCATAACACCTCTCAGAAACTTCCCTTAAAACGTGCTTTGAAAAATAATTTCGAAAACATTCCAAAATGCCCCTTATATGTCGTAACTATGAATAGATTCTTTGACTGAATATAAAAGCAACTATAAGTCCTTATGTTAGAACACTATACTTGCTCACCTATATACATGTAGACGAATGTACAGGTTCATCCATATTGTAGTTTTCTCAAATCATGCAAGCAGTGCATATCCATGTGCGTGCACACACACAAGTAATGAATACCAAGATATTAACAAACGTCCCCATATTTTTTCTGAAGCCAACGAAGGGAAATTGAAACCTAAAAGAACAAAATTTTCAAAGTTCTCAAAAGCATCACCTTGTGAAATGGTTCCAACAAAAAAGTATACCCTCTCAAACAATGTTCTCGAGATTGAGGATCTGCAACTTTGACTGACAGCCCTTCCAACATCAAAGTTGGAGCATAACTGAGAAAAAAAGACTTTCCTTTGCTAATAATCATAAAAATGTATATTTCCAGTACTGTGCATAAAACAAGTAGTCTAACAACTGATGTGATTTACTATAATACTTACGAGGCAGAGCTTGGAACTTCAGTGCAAATACCTTTTCCTGCAATAAACTGAATATCAAAGACTACAGATTAGTTGAATATCATGTTCATAGTCCTAGTAGCATGCCTAAATGATGTTCTCAAAGTTTCCCATTAGAATATTATGCTTGGTGAAAACAAGATTTAAATAAATACATGTAGCCCCTCTGTAACAGCTTCAGCTGTTAGATGAAGCCAGACAAAAGCCCTGTGTTGGGTTTGAGTTGTGCCGCCTCCCATTTATTAAAAAAAGTGCACGTGTTAGGCTTTGATGGAAAAATAAATCCAGCCAACACATAAGAGGAGCATGCTGAAGAGAAGATTTAAATAAATCCATGTAGATGCTCTCAAAAGCTTAAGATGTAAGATGAATTGTTTGACAGTCCTCATATTTACAATCTTGCCCTTCTATTCTTACATGATAACACTAAATCAGCCAACAGATACTCTATTACAGTACTGACAGTAGGCAAACAAAAAATAAATAAATAACTCTACGATGATATTAATTTTTTTTTTTTTTTTTTTTTTTTTTTTTACACAAAAAACAACTCTTGAATTGTGTGATTTGGCTATTCCATTGTGTTGATTCTTCACTTTATTATTGAGTCTATTCACATATTCTTGTCCAAAAAAAAAACCATCTATTCCTCCTAAATTCAATTCCTTGAGTTTGGTTATTATTCAGTTTGTTGAATTTCCGGTAAAACACTTGATTTAGTTAACTTGGTTCTTTAAAGTGCTTGGAGGGAGACTTTGAGTGGTAAAAGACAGAGTGGTGAGTTTAGTAGAGGAAAAAAAGCCATATTGAGTGTTTTCGAGTGATATATTGTGAGGCATATAAATTTGTGAGACATGATGTCGGAAAGAGAAGGTTCCAACTCAAGCCAAAATGGTAATGACAACAATGCTTCGGAGGACATGATACGAAGGTTTGAACGGGTACTTGGTGATGTTAGGGAGAAGGTGGATAGGCAAGGGGAATGGATGGTGCAAATATTGCTTCTTTTTTTTTTTTTTTTTTTCATTCTTTTGTTTTTCTAACGCAAAATTGATCCTTCTTTTGTTCTTTCAAAATTCCTCACATGAACACATTCGAACCATATCAATTTTAATATTTTGTACACCTTTTGAACTTTCTTATCAAAGTAGATAAAAAAATTAAATTGTTCAATAGATGAATTCCAAATCTAACAAGCCCTTGGTAAAATATAAAACCGGATGGAAATGGCAGTATGCATATTTCAGAACTTTGCAAAATTATCCAGAAAATTTATCCTAGAAAATGTCTATAAATTGAGCGTGAATAAAACTAATATGATCACAGAGGTGATTTATTCATGTTTGCTTTGTCTTTAAATGGTCAAAAGTAAGGATTATGCAACTATAAGGACTACGCTAGAATGCTAGAAGGAATAAGAAAGCAAACTTCTCAGCAGACCTCAAAATAATATAGAAAATCACTAACCAATTGAAGATATCTTGTCTTGCAGTCGATTCGCTTCTGAATGCCTAGGAGAGCACATGAAAAATGTGAAGGGAACAAAACAGAACCTGGCAGATAGATGACACATGTTCTCGATTATAATATTTGTTGCGTTATTTTTCCAAAATTATTAAACATGCCGCAATAGTACGAACAAGAATTCTAAAATATATAAAGATTAAAAAAATTAATTGTAAAATATTTTTTATGAAAAATAAATGAAAAATCAACCAGGGAATCCTAACCTCCAAAAGGACACAAAAATTCTGTCTACATTACCTATATGTTGCGTTACCAGTTCCAAAAGATACCATGTCCCCATCCTTCAGTATGGTTTCTTTATGTGGATACTCGTGAACTTTTTCCTTTGAACCCATATTTTTGCTGATGAATGTTCCATACTTAGAGCAGTCTCGGATCCGGACTTTAGAAGAATTATTTGAAGATTTATTGTGTGAAAGATCTACAGATATCATTTCATCTATTATAATTTCTGCATGGATCCTTGAAACTCCTTTATCTTTGTTTACAATTATATCACAACCTACATAATGAATCAAATATTTTACTGCATAATCAGCACAGTACAACCACAATCTTAAAAAAAGAAGGGGGGAAAAAGGAACTTTCCGAGTTCTACATCAATTTTAGTGAAAAGCGTCCTCAATGTGACCACACAAACATCAAAACAAAGGAAAACAACACAGTTAAACTCAATGCCTTGATCTGTTTATTGTGGTGGTTCTGAAAAATTTTGCCCTCTTTACAATGTAATTTCACATAACTATTGAAAGAAGACCAATGACAACCAGAATATATGATGGGACCCATGAAAATTTCCATTATTGGCACTCTATGATTACTTCAACATCATATGCCATTTATAAGATTATGGTTCTTTCCATTTCATCCATAAACATTGAAATTGAACTTCAGAGTAGAAGTTTGGAACAAAAAATTGTTATTAGCACGAAAATTTCCATTATTGGCACTCTATGATTACTTCAACATCATATGCCATCTATAAGATTATGGTTCTTTCCATTTCATCCATAAACATTGAAATTGAACTTCAGAGTAGAAGTTTGGAACAAAAAATTGTTATTAGCTAGCAAGTTTGAAGGATGTGGAACCTGAAATATGAGTTGTTTCATCAGACACACAAATAAGCCTAGAGTTGACCCAAAAGCCTAGCGAATTGCAGATTCGTACAAAATTATGAAATGTTGTAAGCAGTGACTTGTTCCTTTTAATTTTCACCACAGCGAATGAAATGCTTAAAATACTACAAAATTTTATGATTTCATTGCATAAGCCATCTCAAATAAAACAGCAACAACACACATGCTTCTGTACAACCACCCTCCTAAGGATTGACTTTCCAGGTTTTAAATCATTAGTAGAAAAGACAAGTTTAGGCCATCAGCATAAATCCTTTCGCCACTTCATTTAGGCCATCATTACATCTCCTGAAAGATTCAAAGAAAATCAAAGTACACACAACGATGACTAGCCATATAATTTGGGTCTATCTACCAAATGATTTAATGAAATCAAATCCCTTGCAATCACATCAAGCCATTGAACTTTTTATCGACCTCTCTCTTTCTAGAACCTGTTGTACTATGATTACATCGCTCTTACCAAAATTTCTTTATATCTATTTAATACATACTCTAATCACCATTTTTTACATGTTCTAGTGTGGTCACACATCCATCTTGGCATCATCAACTCCATTACTTTGTCCTTTAACTGCCCAACAATCAGTACCACAAAGCACAGTTAGTCTAATAATAGTTTTGTTGCAGTATGAAAGGTAAGTTGTGAAAACAACCTTTTACACAAAGATTGTTAAAATTCATTTTACTTTGTGAACAACTTAAATTCTCTTTCTTACTTAAAATTGTAGATAATATAAGTTTTTTCTGTTAAAAAATAAAAAATAAAAAAAAATAAATCTCTTTGCCCCATGTACAATTCCTCAAAATTGATAAAATGATCCTAGGATCAAGATCAATCAAATTGGGCGCACCTCAAAATCAAAACATCATGCAAAATCATGAACTTGAACAGTAAAGTTGCTAGCCTAGGATAGGGAATACAACAACTAAGGAATGTAAGGACATTAAATGCAATAATTGCCTTGTAGACACATTACGATCTGATTGACAGGAAAATGAAAGAATTAACCAGTAGAAATGGAATAAGCAATAGAATACCTTTTCTACCCACTTTGTATGTTCCTTGACTGAAAAAATAATATTTATCTTCACCTGTCACGTAAAACAGCTTGATGTATGAAAGTTGTTGGGGGGATCTGAATAGCACATAACCGATAGGAGTAACATATTAAAATTTCTGAAAAACTTGAAAGATTAGCAAGAAACAGAATTGATATGATAAGTGCGTAGCTCTACTACGATATGGGTCGATGTCATTTCTAAACAAATGGATGGATCTTATATTTTGTGCACGGAAAAGGAGGAAAATTCAAAGGGCTATAGAGAATGAGATCAAATACTAAGTTCCAAAGATGAGGCTGTATATCATATGAGATATTTGGCTCAAAGTAGCCTGCATAAGTAATCAATTATAAACCAACCCCACCATTAATTATCCCTATTGTCCCATCTTTAAATATGACTAAATTCACTATTTAGAATTTAAGAGAAACAGTGTCAAATTAGTGTAGATAACCCACACTCTTATTAGGTCAACTTTCAAGTACTCTTCACAGTCCACTAGTTTGCGCTTGAGAAGAAACCCTTCTCTTGTTACATATTGCAAAAGCAGAAAACATTGCACTTTCTAATTTTCATCACCTTGTCCAATAGGCTTATGGTAAAAAAAATAAGTAATAAAATGGTTGCAAACAATTCATAAATCATCAAAGCAGTGTGTTCCTCTCATCCACCATTTCCTTCTGCTGGAAACCTAATTAAGTCATTGAAGACCGTCTCTTATGACATAGAATTATCATTTCATTGCATAGCTGGGCATATCATTTTAGCAAGTCATTTTATGTGATAATGAGGCACAACTAATTCCTCAAGCGTTACTACTCTAAAATTAACACCACTCCAAGTAACCCAGTGTAAAAAATATCCAGTGGAGCCACAAACAGCACTTTCGGCTAACCTCAAAAAATACAGAAAACGTTACTTTGTTCCTAAATGTTTGAATAAGTTACTTTTTTCTAATTTTTAAGTAAAAAATATACATAATTCAAAAGTAAGCCTCACAATATCGTCAAAACAAGTAACTTTCCATGTATTTTTGTACAGTGTAACAGAAGAATGATTAGTCACTAGTGCATATATATAAAAACTTTGTATCCATTGGAGTGGATTCAAATACTGCAAAGTTCTGCTTCGACGACTATAAGGTGTTTGTTCAAATTCCCGGGTGAATAACAATGAATTTTCTTGTGTGTGTTACTATGTGCAATTACTAATGATGGGATTAATCATAAATGTTGTTTTAAGTGATTACCTGGAACTGGGTCGACGGGAAATAGGCCCCAAACCATGTTTTTGATTCTTATGAAGACAAACAGTGGAAATTTTCTGGAGAATCGTATATTCGCGAAATCAAGAACAGCTGCGCGACCGCTTTTGCTAATGTTTTGGTCTTGGTTATGCCTGTGAAGTCGGTCCTTCGACCATGGCTGGTTCAGGTCCAGGTTTTTAAAATAGTAGACCGAATATGCTCTTGGACCGAGGAAATACTGGCCAATAGCCGGTTGATCCGAAAAGCAAAAATGTTTAAAATATTGAAAATCAAGAGATATCTAAATTTACCGTTACTATTTAAAGAAGAAAGAGAAGATAGTAAGGAAATAGAAAAATTACTGTAGCGCTGATAAAAAAGGGAAAATAGACGACCCATATTTAATGTTTTTATGTTGATTTTTGGAAGAAAAAAAACATGATTTTGTATACATGTGCTGATTTTTGGAAAAATGCATGATTTTTGAGTAAGGATAATAGTTTGGGAGGAGGAAAATGAAGTGGAAATCTTCGAAAATGGAGTTTTCCGACGATCTTCACAAAAGAGACAGTTAGCCCAGGTGACTGGACCGTTTAGGCATGCCCAGACGATCCAGACTCACCCTCGGCGCCAGTTGACTGGGCCGTCTGGGCCGACAGTTTTCTAGGCCCAGAATTTTTTTTAAATTACTTATTTATTTATTTCCTTTAATTTTTGAAGTTAACTATTTATTTTAATTGCTTATATTGTGTTGTCTAATATTTAATTATTATTTTAATTGTTTAATTTTAATGTATGTTATGTATTTAAAATTATTTTTTTGAAATGCTTAATATAAATGTTTTATTATTTATCTAAATATTTATTATTTGCCAATTTAGTTTTAATTACTTATTTTATGTTAAATAATACTAAAAAATATTAAAAGAAATAATTAAATATTAAATAATATACATAAAGAACTTGAATAAATATTTAAACATCTGTAAAATAATAAATAAGCAATATGCATAAAGAATTAAAAAAAAGTATTTAAACATTAATTAAAAATAAATAATTAAATTAAGTGTTAGTAAAATAATTAAAATAAGAAATGAAAATATTAAAATAAATGATGAAAATAAGTGTTAGTAAAAAAATTAAACGAAATAATTAAATATTAAATAAGTAATATACATAAAGAATTTAAATAAATATTTAAACATTCGTAAAATAATAAAAATAAGCAATTAAATTAAAAAATTAAAATATCGATCAAATTAATTATTTGCAAAGCATTTAAATAAATATCAATAAAGAATTTAAATAAATATTTAATCATTTTTTATTTTTTAATATTGAATTTAATTGTTTATAAATATTTCATGAATTATGTAAATTTTTTATTTGAGTAAAATAATTAATTGTTTTTTATTTCATTTTATTTAAAATACAAATAATGAAATAAATATAATAAACAATTGAATATTCAATAAACATTTAAAATAAATGAGAAATTAATATAAATAATTAAATGAAGTAAATAAATATGATAAACTATTAAAATAAGTAATTAAATATTAAACAAACAGTATACATAACCAATTAAAGTAATTAATGAGATATTTAAATAAACATTAAATTAAATATTTAATAAGTAATTTAATAAATCAAATAATACTTTAATTGTTTATGTATATTATTTGTTTAATATATAATTATTCATTTTATACTTTATTTGTTTATTTAAATAATTCACGAATTATGTTAATTATTTATGTATATTTTTTATTTATATAAAAATAAATAAATAATTGAAATAAATTAAATAAATATTAGTAAAATAATTAAAATAATGAATTGAAATAATAAATAACTAATTGAAATAAATTCAATAAACAAGTAACTTAAATGTTAATTAAGCAATAAAAATAATTAATTAACATAAGTAACAAATAAATATAAATAATAAAAACTAGTTTAAATATGTAATTAAATATTAAATAGACAATTGAAATAAACAATTAGAATTTAAATATTAAATAAATATTTTAAATGAACAATAAATATAAAAAGAAGTAATTTAAATAAGTAATTAAATATTAAATAAAAAATTTAAATAAACAATTGAAATAAATAATTAACGTTTAAGTATTAAATAAATAATTTAAATGAACCATAAGTATGAATAATAAAAATAAGTAATTAAATATTAAATAAACAGTTGAAATAAATGATTAACATTCAAAATAAACAATTAAGCATTCAATTAACAATTAAAATAAATATAAAATAAACAACCAAACAATTAAAATAAATAATTTAAATACACATTTAAATATTGAATAAATAATTTAAATAAATAATTAACAATTAAATATTCAATAAACAATTTAAATAAATAGTTAACGATTAAATATTTAATACATAATTTAAATAAGTAAATAAACTATTTAATTTTCAAATATTATGCTCTATCTATTGTCTCTTATGCAAGGTCCAAATATTTTAAATTTTACAAGATGAATTACAATGTGGACGTCGCTATGAGACAGATTCCCAACAAAGTTACATCGAACTATAATTTTGTCAGCTTCGCATTAGTTCTAGATTTGTTGGATGAGGAGCGCGCAGACCTGTTACACCGATCCTGCTTATGACGGTAACTTTGGCACGGTTAGGAGATGCATTCAATGAATGCGACGATATGTTTGACAAGTTGAAGTTGGAGATATTTATACTAGAGAGCATGCTGAGGTGTCATCACAATAAGATGTCGATCGACGTCTTTCATTTGGAAGTTGTTGATGACATTGACACATTCAACAACTATCCATGGGGACAAAACTGACAGTTATCAGCTCTCTTCAACAATCCTGAAGTACGTATTATTCATTTGTGATTTATGTTGTACGTCATTTCAAAATTTTGATGCATGGTCATTAACTCGGTGAACATTTAAATAATAATTAAATGATTATTTGAATGATAAATAATTAAATGATTATTTAAACGATAATAAATAACTAATTAAAATAAATTCAATAAACAAGTAACTTAAATTTTAATTAAACAATAAAAATAATTAATTGACATAAATAACAAAGAAATATAAATATTTTAAATTTTACAAGATGGATTACCATTTGAACGCTGCCATGAGATAGATTGCTAACAAAGTTGCGTCGAACTATAATTTTGTCAGCTTCGCATTAGTCCTATATTTGTTGGATAAGGAGCACGCGGACCTATTACACTGATCCTACTTATGACAGTAACTCTGGCACAGTTAAGAGATGCATTCAAGAAATACGACGATATGTTTGACAAGTTGAAATTGGGGATGGTGTTTATACTGGGGAGCATACCGAGGTATCATCGCAAGAAGACGTTGATCGGCGTCTTTCATTTGGAGGTTGTCGCTGACATTGTCACATTCAACAACTATCCATAGGACAAAGCTGACAATTATCAGCTCTCATTGACGATCCTGAAATACATATTATTCATTTTGTGATTTATGTTGTACGTCATTTCGAAATCTCGATGCATGGTCATTAACTCAGTGAAATGTTAATATGTCAACTTGAATTGCTCATTGAACTGATACCGTTGATCGAGGAGGAGGGTCAGAGTCATATCTGAAGAGATACAGTACGTAGGTGATAGGGGTCCCAGACAGTGACAGAGAGAAGCGGAGATGGTGACAGGAAGGGTGACGGTGGAGAGGTTGGGATGTATACAGTTGTTTCATTAGAATCATTATGGATGTCAGTGGAGATAGAAGAGGTATCGGTGGTGGGGATGAAATAATTGTAATAATTGTAATTTTTTTTATTTATGAAATAATTGTATATATTGTGAAATTTATTTAAATAAGGTAATGAAATATTAAATACATATTACACACAACTAATTAAGATAATTTATAAATTAAATATCTAAATAAGAAATTAAATTAAATATTACTTTTTTATTTAATTAAGTGATTAAATAAATAATTAAACAACGTAATTAAATATAAAATAAATAATATACATAACTATGTCGAAGAGGACCCCCAACTTGACAGATAATGTCGCGAGTTTGGATAGCACCTTGTACGAAACATATTATTGACGTGCCAGAGCAAATTGTTAGCAAGAGGACTAGATTGCTGTCACAATATATTGTTTCTCCGTACACGATCGAAGCAAAGAAGAGAACATCTGTTGACGGTACGTTGCCCAACCTCTTTCGTGAAATACAAGGGCGATTGTGAAATCTTCACATTTAAGTTAGGACTGTAAATGGATCGGATATATGGATCGAATTTGCTCAAATTCGATCCGATCTGTTAATAATAATTATCATATCCGATCCGATCCAATAATTCGACAGATATTTGAATGTTAAATCCATATCCGATTAACTATGTTATCGGGTATCCGATCCGAAATTGAAAAAATTAGAAAAATAAAGATTTTATTTATTTATCAGATAGGAATGACCTATATCCATATTTGATTCATTTAGTTAACAGATTATCGAGTTTGAATCTCGATTGGGTTATCGGATTTAAGGCCCTAAATCCATCTCTCATTAATTTCATTGGATTTAGATCGAATTTGGATCAAAATCCAATCTATTGATTCATTTAATTAACGAATTATCGAATTCGAATCTTGATTGGATTATCGGATTGAGACCCTAAATCCATCTCCTATTAATTTCATCGTATTCGGATCAAAATTCAATCCATTGACAACCCTAATTGAAGTACATTAAATTTTTAGCATCGAACGTGGTGTAAAGCTAATAAACTAAACACACATTAAAATGCAAGCGTTCTTTTATGTACATTGTGATCTGTAATTGTAATAATTTTAAAAGTAAGCATTTTTTTAGAACATTTGTAATACTTTAGTTTTTATGTAATTATATAATAATTAACTAATTACTCTTAATTACTATATAACACACAATAAATAAAGAAAATTGAGAAAATCAATCACACACTATAAATGGAGAGTACATAGAATTTAAATAGATATTACACATTCGTTGGGTAGAGAGTAATATACCATAATTGGAAACTTCTCACTCAACTTCATTTTATAGAGTAAATATAGTATTGACATTATTGAATAATGTTTGATGTATTGTAAATCTGACAATGCCTAAAGTTCAACTTATATCTCTGTTAAATATTCTTATACACCATGTGATTTATGTTCTA